GAAGCCATCAATGGCTTGCCGTTGCTTGGTGTGCGGACGTTTACACGGCCATGTGCCGGTTATTGACAGATCTGTAAGCTTGTTGGAGCTACAAACCTGGACAACTGAGGTTTGTTGGAAAAGTGTGCTTACCTTCCCATAAATAATACAACACAAGCCTCAGCCTAATTCACCGTTTGATATTCGGGACTCTGAAGCCTACGCGTTACCCAAAGTTCCGTGCCGGGACTCTAAACGCCTCCTACCCTATAATTTCCTTGAAAAATACGTTAAAGGCTCAACTAGCCAGGCTCCTGTCAAGTACGAGGGCCGTAGATGAAAGGTCACATGTAGTCCTAGCTGCGAGGTCTGTCGGCAGCTGCCATCTTTACTTCTTCGATAGGCTTCCTACCGCGCGAAACATTTCGGTAGTCCGCCTTTGTACTTAGGAAGCTCTAAGCAGGTGTCTCTGTGATTCGGCGTCAAAAGTTGGTCACAAAGGCAGCACTGGAGTCTCATGTCAGTGGTTTTCCCTATGTCTACGTACCGGTAGAAACTACACGAATTGGTGCAGAACATTCATCTCCCTACTACCGATGAATAATAAAGCACATAAAAAGTCGTGCTTGACCTCATGATCTTCCTGCTCTCTGTCAGCGATTTCTTCATTACCGTGACGCATTGTAATCCCTTTCCCTTTCACAAAGACGTAATAATCGCCTACAACCCGGGATGTCTTCGAAAGGTTTAATTTTATTCGGACCCAACTAGACCCTGACTCTGACCATTGGTCAAATTTCTCTGATAGAAGATCCATTGTTAGGTCCCAAACAGCCACCTGCCACTGTCTCCTGCTGATGCCCTCAAAGTTAGTGGAGGGCCTGCCATTTGTCCTACCAAAGTCAAAAGCCGGTATCCTGCATACTCCCGTACCTTCAGCTGTTCCCACTGTTTACAGCTACGGGCCACCGAGTCATATTCTGCTGTGCAGCCTCTCTTTCGTCATCAGTCCAGCTGTGGCCACGTCACTGCCTCCCGTAGATTGAGGTACACTGCTTGCAAGTTCTGCGTCCCAACTGAACTCAGAGACCTCACGGCTGCATATTGAAGGCGGCCTTCTACATTTATTTGGTCCGACAAAATAAATAAATGTATTAACGAATTCTAGCCGCTTCCCTTAAGACGTCCATGAATAAAGAAGGGAGTTCACGATAACTCTGGCACGAGTGCCTCACCTAGTTTCATATCCTCCTAATCATTCACAACAACTATTCTATTTCTTGCCTGTGTGGCGCAGGCTAACACAAGATCAACTATACCCGCCAAACCTGTGTCCAAAATCCTACTTTTACTTAATTCTATTCACTATCGATCCGTTCCGCTCAGAAGTTAATTTTTACTCACACAGGGTATGTGGATTTCCCCGTAATTCATCGCCTCTCAGATCTTAGTGACTCCGAAGGTTGCCTTCACTTCCCAGAAACAGTAACTTAATCTTCTTCTCTTCTTCCAACATTTTTGTGGCAGGCGCCTTTACACACCTATCATAAACGCGGTTCGTCCTACAGCGTATACCTTGGTTTTAGCCAATATCTCTTACGGTCAGCGTGGTCACGTTTCCCCTCATTTATCGCCCTTTTTCGAAAATTTGAAGTCTTCGATTTTACAAGTCTCATTAAAGCGACCCCAAATTTTTAATGCGGTTTTCCTTTAGATACCACCCTTCACAATATGATGCTGTCATTCGCGTTTTCTCATTGCCATTGCCTTGATGTCAGCCTTGTGCTGACTTGTCCACTGCAACTCTGACACATAAAATGGTGTTGAACCTTGTCCGGTTTAGTGGGATCACGGTAATTCCGTGCCATATACGGCGCTTGTGCTGTACTTCTTGCTGCACAAATGTATGCCGCCAACCTGTTGGATATACACACCGCTATTGTTATTCACCTCTACGTTTCCTTATCCGCACCATCCGTCGATTGATTATTCTTGCCAGCAGGTTTTCTCGCAAGTACTTGATTTTACCTTGATCCATGCCTCTCAGGTAGTGATCACTGCGTCGTATCGTGTAACGCAGTCAGGTAAAGCGAAGCTGTTCCTCCATGTCCTTCGATGCTTAAGCTCATGACTCCAGATATTTTGCTGACTTTTTTTTATCTTAGCTGGCCTCCCTGGACTAGAACCACTTCCTTTTCTCGACAAACGCAACACATTATGATTTCTTCTAACAAGGCCTATTACCTTTTCTCTACCATGCTTCTTCTGTTAACAGTTTTCTCCTGGTATTTCTCGGCGTCATAAGGTATTGAAAACCTCGGACAATAAAATACACCGAGCTGGCAGAAAATATCGGAAATCTCAAAATTTCTCACCGATACACCTCATTAGCAATCACTCAACTAGCCGACACTCCTTACGGGTGTCTCTCGAATGCAGTGGGGAGAGCACCAGTCTCAGCAACCCATTTACCTGTAAATTATTCGGCACCTTGTTGGTGAGCGCTGTACCCCAAACAGTCCCTCAGTCACTTGTCTGCGTTCCACCGACGGTAGTTTTATCACTAATTCTGTCAACATAGCCGACCACTTGAAGGCTTACTTTGCCAGATGCTACTAACCTCTCCCTCCAAACTCAATCTCAATCTCTGCCACACATTCCACATTACAACAGAGTAGTGGTCGTCTCTTAGAAACGTGGTCATCTTTCTAGTTGATGTGTCAGCCCCTCTTCAAGCCCTCCAGGACTCCGTCGTACCGGGGGGCGACGGCATACCATCGCATGTCCTGATAAATGGCGGACAATATGCCAAAATCCTTGTCCTAAATCTTTTCAATCACAGCCAACTCCGGTACTGTTCCCTATTATTTGAAACAATGTGTTGTTTGCTTCCGGAAAAACTGCTCTCAACTACGGATGGATCCATCATATTCCTCTTTTAATGCGAACCCTTGAACGTCTGGTCAAAGGCCCGTTGATCAGGCTCCTCCTAACTACTAATACCATAGATGGCCAGCAGTATGGATCTTTATCTCAGATGTCCAATAATGGCTGACAGCTTCACTTATTTAAGCTCGTTACTAAAGTGTACGATGCCGGACACTAGTGTCACAGTCTATCTGGATATCCAGAAAGCTCTTGGCCGGGTCCCTCATGCATCGCTGCTGAGGAAACTTTAATCTGCTTTTACTTCCGTATCCCCACTTAAGTGGTTAAACTCCTATCTATCTGATAGGTCACGTGTAACACAAATTGATGGCAAACAGTCAGTCCCACTTCCGCTCACCAGTGAAGTCATTCAAGGGAGCATGCTAGGCTATCTCCTCTTCTTACTGCATATCAATGACATCTTCGACGCCTCATCCTATGGTGAATCCTTTCGTTTTGTGAACGACATTAGAATTCCTTACACATGTCCTCTCTCTGTTGCCTTTCGGCGGATCCAACAAGACAGACTCACTGGTCATATGCTTATAGCATAAGCTTCTGTCCTTCCAGGTCCCGCAACTTCCTATCGATGTTCCGTCCCAGCTGCTAAGTTCATAATTGACAGGAATCCTGTCATTTGTTCCGCAGAGACCAAATACCTAGATCTCAGATATTCTTGCACCTTTAGTTTTCCTCATCAAGTTCAGTTCCAGGTTGCCCAAGCACGTGGAATCCGCTTTCTAACATTAAGCTCCTTCCATCTCCGGAACACGAAGATCGCATTTTTCAAGCTGTGCGCACGACCGACTGAAGACGTCTGTCCCCTTATACGCAAAGTTGTAGGCTTGTACTGGAGAACACCCAACGTTCATTCACCGAAAAGCTTTTCCCACAGACTGACCCTCTTTCCTACCGTTCCCGCTGTTTAATCGTAGGCCTCGGGCCACTATGTCCCAGACGGCTAAAGCTGCATTTAACGCTCCTACACCGTCTGTGTACCAAAAGGCTTTTAAAGCACAGACTGGGCCAAAAGTTTAGCCGGATACACGCTATAAATTCCGTAAATCCAGCAGCCTTTTAGTGTGCCCTCAAGCGCGTACGACACCATTTCTTGGTTTACTACACTCGCGTCTAGAAAAACCTCCCTAATTGGTTTCGAAATATCACACATCAGTATATGTTTTTACGGTCTGTAGACAACTTCCTTATGTTTGAGGCCGTGGCTGCCTCACTCAATACCCAATTACCCCCTGTCTTCTTTATGAACGGGGATCAGACCACCTCTGAGTTTGGCGTAGGTATAGTTAGTGGACGAAAAAATAGTGAAAAAATAATTAAAAAAATGAGCAACCCCTTACTATACCTTGCTTTCTCCTGACTTGCTTGAAGCACCTTAATACAGGTTCCCCTCAACCGCGTCCCTGCCCCTGATTACTCTATCCGCTCTGTTTAATGAGTGTTGACTCGCCTTACCTAACCCTGATCAACGTGAAACAAGCAAAAGCTAGATTCCCCTACATTTGAAAACGTAATATACGCCTCGCAACCCTTTCTACACACGCATACAACATTGCGGTAAGCCAATATTTAGCCCGATCGCCCATGCTTGGTCATCGTTTAGCCACGGTTCATACGCTCTGGCCATCTCCGTTCTGTTCCCATTGTCCCGGCGGTAGCTGCTGCCTCATTTGCCTCCATGACCTGCCTTTTCCGGTGGCTGTTTGTCGTTTGCTTGTTCAAAATGACTGAGCTGTTTTGCTGGCCTGGCATTTCCTGACCGGATAAAGTAACTGGTAGCTAGAGATTTTTACTGGTACAAAAGCGGCAATTATGACTGCTTGGTGTCATGACATATCGCAGATCTGGTAGCGTGCACGGGGGATGAAAATCTCGTGTGGTGATCAGTACGTCCTGTAGGGAAGTTCGCCCTGTTGCTTTGCACCATGGTACAATCATACACCGGCCACCCTCCAGTAGCTTGGGTGCTTCGAACATCGCCGGTTGTCCCGAGCATGGCCTTTAATTCAGGAAATAAATAAAAAGTAGTGTTGTTTCCTGTTCGTTGCTACTGGGCCGGACTCGTCTCGGTTGTGTCACTTGACTGGTAAAGCTGTAGCTACCTACGATGAAAAAGTGAAAAAAGAAAAAAAACTGGCCTCTCGCCTTTTAAAATAAAATAAATTCATAAAAAACAGGTGGAATACCCTGGAGAATCTACGATGACCATAGCTTACATCGACGTGCACCTCTGTAGCTGCCCTTGTTATAATTGTGGTCGTACCGCACCAGAGCCAACTTAGTCAACCAAGCAAAACACGCGCATCTACCTACTGCTCCCAGGAGTGAACATATATAATGGGAAATACATGTATACAAGGGTTCTTAACCTTCCGCTGCCAGCGTTCAAGATTAGTATCAGAAGGTCTCTTATTCGCCACGCACCATGTGTTAACTTGAAGCCAATACCAGTGCTTCGGGGACTGGCGACTATTTCTCTTACACTCTCACTACCATCAGCCCCTATGCATCTGATTCACATAACCACACCACCACTCTGCGTGCTTATATCGGCTTTTACTCGATCCGTTGTACTCTAATATCGTGTGTTAGTAAACCCAAAACTTGGTCGCTAGTCTACTAAGTATAAATCCATCCCCATCTTATTCCATTTAATCGCTTGCTATCATCGGTCCAATCGCAATGGACGTCAATGTTCCTTCCAGGTATATTCATGCACATTATCCCATTTAATGTCCTCTCAAACTCTCAATGCTTTGCTACTCTAATCCCATCCCCTCACCTTTTCAAGCTTTTACCTTCGGCAATGCCCGGCTTGGAAGACCTGGTTGGCTGTTGCATACTCCACCCGGCCTATGATCTACAATCACAGGATCCCCAAACAGACCGAAAAACCTGCGATTCTACATCGGCTTCGTTCCAACTTATTTCCTCGGCCAGCGTGAACGGACCCCGCTGCTCAAAGAATCGCCCAGCCCAGCCCAACGATTCTACGGGGCTGCCCAAAAACCGAAGTATGTCACGCCAATGATGGCATAGCATTGTCGTATCCAGTTTGACAGCACACCTGCAACTATTACATTCCTTCTCTTAACCGTACCATATCGCCCACTCGTTCCATTGATTGCAAATACGAACCAGCACCACATGACCCCAGGTCTCTCAGTGGCATGTTCATTCTAATCTACTGAATAGTTCGATTAACTTTAACCATTTCTGTGTCTGTGCTTCTCGCAAAATTCAATTACTTTCTCAAACGTTCGCGTTTCGGCTCGTGGGTCGCCATCATCTCAGTCTTCTACTGAACTTTTATGCCCGAATACACATTAGCGACACCGGTGAGTCTCTACGGTTTCGCCGTACACCATGCTCCTGGGATTCCTGTTACCGCTTATCCAGCTTGCTAATCCCTCCACTTCATCATCCCCATGTACGCTTTTTGTGACCCTGGCCATGAGTCCAAGGTCACGAGGCCTTAGCGATGGCCTTTGGTTTTAGTTCAATATGACCTCCCGGATGACGCCAACTCTGCTACTTCACCTGATCTGATGTTCTGGTCCCTCAGTTTTGACCGTTACACCTTTCTTGTCATGTGTCACGCAGGGAACCTCTTTTTTACCCTTCCTCGCCTTGTTTTGCTACCCGCCACCTTCAAATCCCAACGATCCGGTGTTGCTTGATATTCTCTCTAATAACGCACGGTAACTGTGCTTCCCCGCCCGTGCCAGTTTAGTTGTGATCACGCCTACATCGGTAATGCCCATCACTTATGATGCCGTCCGTTTTCACAACCCCTTGTACCCACAATCCCCACCAGTCATGCTTTTACTCTGACTGTAACATTATGCTCATACCGGACGGTATGGTTCCCACAAGCTGAGGATAAACATTATTATTACTCAACACCTCTACTCTATTGCATCCCTACCGCATTTCTATCCGAAACCGGCCTTCCGTTTACCTGAACCAGTCCATTGCCCACCCCACATACCAAGTAGCGCGTCAGATAACACCTGTCATGCCTCTAGGAGTGGTAAGAATGTGAGATAAATGAGGCAACGCTGGCGCGCGTCTACGGAAACTCCGTCGGCATTTTGTAATAAGTCGTATGAGTAAAAAAAGTAGCACGACCTGACTGTAATAAAATTGCATCTACAGAGACCTGCGTACCTTTTGATATAATGGAATTTAGTGCTGACCTCTCAGGTTCCGTTTCGCATTGTTGCGATTCCGGCAGGCTAGTGCGTACCTATTCGGCCGTTTGTGAGATGTACTGAGAAGCTTAACCCTTCATTCCAATCGGGACCTTAAAAAAGACACCCGAGGCAGAATAGCCTACACAATCAACTGTTCTCGAAACATCGCATCAAATCGGTTGACAAAAAACGCTTGTTCCATTAGCGACGTAAACAGCTACCAATTCGCTGAAGACTAAAGTTGATGGATGAAATCAGTTATTCTTGAAACATATTATCATAGACATTATACATATTATTATCATATATTTCACGTTTTGGTATTGGACATGGTATGTTATTGCTACTACGGCAGTTGATGTTAAATTTCGCGTTGTGAAGCCTAACATGCATTAGGACACGGAATATTGCGCTTGATGGAAAAAGCTGGTTTTCCGTAACTGTCGGTTTAATGGTCTAGCAGCACATGTAATTTCAGTCTTATAACCGTTAGGTTTACCAGTATAAAGCGGAATGGATATCATGTGGTCATAATGCGAATGTACTTCAAAAGGCTAAGGAGAAATATGGAGGAGTAAATCATATTTACTTGGGGCGGGAAATCCTGGAACTGATTCCACCCCCTTGGCCAAACCTTTGTACCTAGGTAGTCATACGTCCAGTTTTTTATGTGATTTTTGGGGAGTTTTCAGACGGTGGCGAGAAATTTATAGCACTCCGAGGCGCCACTCACTAAGAGTGAACTTAAATTGTCTTTGCCCCAATTATGGGGTTTTCGAAGTTACGAATTCCAAGGAAACTGAGTCTAATCAGTTTGCACGTTTCTGTGATAAGCTACCCATATCATTTTGTTTGAGTGAGCAAAATCTCAACGTCACCGACCCGGGAAACTTAGGCAAAAGCCTAGATCTTGTGTATCACTCTGTGATTCCGTGAATATGTGGACCATCAATTCGTATTTTATCACCATTTTACGTGATAAGGCACGAAATCGTCCCTTAGTATTTATTGGCGTGTTGCGTCTACCTTAAAGACGAGGTAACACCCACAGATTATTTCATGTGAATCCCATCCAGGTAAATACATGAATAACCTTTGTATGCTTTACACTCCTCAGATGTAACAGGTGAGATGATTTCGTTTGGCGGAATTTGGCACACGGACGATGAAAAAGTGAAAAAAGAAAAAAAACTGGCCTCTCGCCTTTTAAAATAAAATAAATTCATAAAAAACAGGTGGAATACCCTGGAGAATCTACGATGACCATAGCTTACATCGACGTGCACCTCTGTAGCTGCCCTTGTTATAATTGTGGTCGTACCGCACCAGAGCCAACTTAGTCAACCAAGCAAAACACGCGCATCTACCTACTGCTCCCAGGAGTGAACATATATAATGGGAAATACATGTATACAAGGGTTCTTAACCTTCCGCTGCCAGCGTTCAAGATTAGTATCAGAAGGTCTCTTATTCGCCACGCACCATGTGTTAACTTGAAGCCAATACCAGTGCTTCGGGGACTGGCGACTATTTCTCTTACACTCTCACTACCATCAGCCCCTATGCATCTGATTCACATAACCACACCACCACTCTGCGTGCTTATATCGGCTTTTACTCGATCCGTTGTACTCTAATATCGTGTGTTAGTAAACCCAAAACTTGGTCGCTAGTCTACTAAGTATAAATCCATCCCCATCTTATTCCATTTAATCGCTTGCTATCATCGGTCCAATCGCAATGGACGTCAATGTTCCTTCCAGGTATATTCATGCACATTATCCCATTTAATGTCCTCTCAAACTCTCAATGCTTTGCTACTCTAATCCCATCCCCTCACCTTTTCAAGCTTTTACCTTCGGCAATGCCCGGCTTGGAAGACCTGGTTGGCTGTTGCATACTCCACCCGGCCTATGATCTACAATCACAGGATCCCCAAACAGACCGAAAAACCTGCGATTCTACATCGGCTTCGTTCCAACTTATTTCCTCGGCCAGCGTGAACGGACCCCGCTGCTCAAAGAATCGCCCAGCCCAGCCCAACGATTCTACGGGGCTGCCCAAAAACCGAAGTATGTCACGCCAATGATGGCATAGCATTGTCGTATCCAGTTTGACAGCACACCTGCAACTATTACATTCCTTCTCTTAACCGTACCATATCGCCCACTCGTTCCATTGATTGCAAATACGAACCAGCACCACATGACCCCAGGTCTCTCAGTGGCATGTTCATTCTAATCTACTGAATAGTTCGATTAACTTTAACCATTTCTGTGTCTGTGCTTCTCGCAAAATTCAATTACTTTCTCAAACGTTCGCGTTTCGGCTCGTGGGTCGCCATCATCTCAGTCTTCTACTGAACTTTTATGCCCGAATACACATTAGCGACACCGGTGAGTCTCTACGGTTTCGCCGTACACCATGCTCCTGGGATTCCTGTTACCGCTTATCCAGCTTGCTAATCCCTCCACTTCATCATCCCCATGTACGCTTTTTGTGACCCTGGCCATGAGTCCAAGGTCACGAGGCCTTAGCGATGGCCTTTGGTTTTAGTTCAATATGACCTCCCGGATGACGCCAACTCTGCTACTTCACCTGATCTGATGTTCTGGTCCCTCAGTTTTGACCGTTACACCTTTCTTGTCATGTGTCACGCAGGGAACCTCTTTTTTACCCTTCCTCGCCTTGTTTTGCTACCCGCCACCTTCAAATCCCAACGATCCGGTGTTGCTTGATATTCTCTCTAATAACGCACGGTAACTGTGCTTCCCCGCCCGTGCCAGTTTAGTTGTGATCACGCCTACATCGGTAATGCCCATCACTTATGATGCCGTCCGTTTTCACAACCCCTTGTACCCACAATCCCCACCAGTCATGCTTTTACTCTGACTGTAACATTATGC